AATATTTAGTATGAATGTCTTAGTTTCAGTTCATAATGATAAACTAACTAGGAAACACATTCAAACATTAAAACTTATGATTATACACTTTGCTCAACATAATACAAAGTGTTATGATATTTACATGCTGTTGGTAAAATTTAGCAATTCTGCCCTGTTTCGGAAAAATCATAGAAAAATCATACAAAGTCGAAAACTAGATCCGTAAATTCTGAGAGTTCACAAAATGTGTCTAGTTTGCTCATAATTTTTATCACAATTTATAATGACCTCTAACTTGGGTGAAAAAGTCCATAATCACAGACTGGTCCGGATTGTTGTTTGAAGTGATAGGCAGTTTTGTAAAAATCGCCATAAATTGTAGAAAAATCGTATGGAGATGTGCAAGTAGCCATTTTAAAGCTAAAAACTTGAACTATTTGCACCTTGTACAGTTTTGAAAAAAAAATATTTAAGATGCCCAAAACAGTCCGTGAATGGAGTTGAACTTTTCTGATGAAGGCTGTTAGAGAAATTTAGTTATGTTCTTAGTGTTTTAACTTGTATTCTCCCCCTGAAAACTTGAGAAAACATGAAAACGTAGGGGTATGAACTCACCTTGAGTGATTTCAGTAGATGATTGTTGAAGAATGGAAGTGTTTAATTCAAGAACACTTGGAGATGCCTTGAAGGTTTTCGAGAATCTAACATCATAGTTAGGGAGTTTGTGTAAGCAACCAAAGATTTGAGTAGAATGAAGTGAAATAATAATAGGGAGGATGAATTTTTACTTACTAAGTGTGGAAGAACACTTGAATCCAGCCTTGGATCTCGAAAATTTGTGTAGAAGAGTTTGAGAGAAAAAGTGATGTTTGTTACTTAGTGGAATGAGAGAAATGAGAGAAAATGAGGAGTGTGGTTGATTGTTCCAGCTCAAAAACGTGGGAGTGAGTGAAATTTGAGTGTAAGGGAACATTGAAGTGACATAGGTAAGGTGGGGAGGTATGGCTGGTCATAGAGTGGGTGTGGGGTGGTTGCTTGTGACTTGAATTTTTTTTTTTTTTTTTTTTTTTTTTTTTTTTTTTAACTTGCAAGGCACAATGGAATATATTACTCCTATAAAGGAAATTGACTCAATCAAGGACGATTTCACAATTAAAGTTCGGATCATACGTCTTTGGACTCAAAAGTCAAGAACAATGTCTTATAATTGTCTATATCCCATTTTTAGTTTAATTTTCTAAATATATGTGTGGTTGTCTATGTGTGTGTATCTCTTTAAAAATTCTGCAATTTCATCATTTTATGACCCCCATTTGCGAAGTTGAGTATTTATTTCCAAAAATGCGAAACTCCAGGGACAATATTTGAAATCTTCTGTTTTCTTCCCCAATTCGCATTCTACTGTGAAATACTTCGCATCTTCATTCTTACACCCTTCGCATCCCTTCGCATTAATCACCTTCGCATTTTAACCTAATTAATCAAATGCGATTCACAAAATTTTTCATTCCAGATGCGAACACAGTTTAGTTCTTGAACTCTAAACTTGCGAAATCAAAATTTTCATATGTTGAACCCATATGCGAATATTAACCCAATTGACTTCAAATTGATTCATAGATGCGAACACTCGATTGTTTTACTTTCGCAAAATGAGCATCAACAACTCCACAATCGAGTTTTTAAATTCTTGCAAACAACAATTTCATAGTCCTTGACTTCGCGTTTTTCTTCACGAATCATCCCTCAATCATCAATCCAATTGCGAATCAAAAACTCATATGTTCTTGCTTTATCGATTCATCGACTACACTCATACAAATGCGAACAATACTCAATTTCAAAATCGATTGAAACTTATAGCAAAGCTAAATCCAACTTCGCATTAATCACCTTCGCATTTTAACCTAATTAATCAAATGCGATTCACAAAATTTTTCATTCCAAATGCGAACACAGTTTAGTTCTTGATTAGTACGAAGGCTTAGGAAATTTTTAACACAAACTTTTCTCCTGTGATGTTTTCCCATTAACATAGCAAGTTATACAATACGAACATAACACTAACCCTAATACACAAGGTTAGTTGAGCTGACCGGTTTGACTCGTTGACTTTATTTGACTTTGAATTGACCAGAATTTGACGGTTGTCACAGATATGTATGATATGTTTGATATGGGCCGGAAGGCGTGGTCATATGGACTGTAAAGGTTGATGTGGGTAGGACCGGAAGGTTTACCCAGTCGGGACGGAAGTCCCCTGAAATACATGGACCGGAAGGTCAAGGCCTGGAAAGGCGTATGTGCGTATGTCGTATTTTGGGAACTCACTAAGCTTTATGCTTACAGTTGTTGCTTATGTGTTTCAGGTGCGAGTGAGGACCGTGGGAAGGCGCCGGCGTGATCGTACACACACTCGGGGAAAACTATTTTATCTTTTGTTATGTAATCGTTGGAGACTACGACGTTATTTTGGAAATCTAAATTAATTACTCATGTCTTAATGGTTGTAAAAATGAAAATTTTTGGTTGGAAATTTTATGTCGTTACACAATGATTTGTCCAATCAAAACATTTGCACGACTATAATAAACATATTCATTTTGATCTAGAAATTTCATAACACCTTGCATTTGAGTTTTACCTTCTCTCTCCCTACATCGAAGTTTTTCGTCTGCATTGTAGATAGTTTTGAGAGTAGATACATTTTTCGGATTTAGGTTTTTTAGTGCAGATAATATATCTTTTGGTTTGACATTTTTTTTTCAACAAATCTTCCACTATTCGATATTCATATTCACGACGACGTCATGGATAAGGATGACCTTCTAAATATAACGACAGCTCATGGTTATGAAATTCACATATCATTTTTATCTTCCAAGAATTATCTACTAACGAATATTTGCCCTGTAGGCTAAATGGACAATTAATTTTTTTTGTCCTTGTTTTTTTTTTTTTTTTTTTGGAGATTTGTGTACTTTTGTATGTACCTCCACGATCACATTGAAATACAACATTAAAGTTACATTTAGAATTTTTTATGACGATAACATAACCTAAAGTATTTGCCATATTTTGCACCCAATCCATCACTTCTTGACGAGAATTGAACACCTGACAATTATATTATTATCAAAAGCAGACAAATCCACTTGATGCTTACATTACAGTAACAACATACTAATGAATTTATACCTTATTTGTTTTAAAGGGTGATGTGTCATCGAAGAAATAACGACTTTCGTTCAAACTTTCATTTTCATCTGCTTCATTTGTGTCGATTGGATGAATATTCGTTTCGAATGGTGATGTGTCGTCGAAAAAATAGTTACTTTCATTGAAGCTATTATTTTCATCTACTTCATTTGTCTCCATTGGATGAACACCTGACAATTATATTATTATCAAAAGCAGACAAATCCACTTGATGCTTACATTACAGTAACAACATACTAATGAATTTATACCTTATTTGTTTTGAAGGGTGATGTGTCATCGAAGAAATAACGACTTTCGTTCAAACTTTCATTTTCATCTGCTTCATTTGTGTCGATTGGATGAATATTCGTTTCGAATGGTGATGTGTCGTCGAAAAAATAGTTACTTTCATTGAAGCTATTATTTTCATCTACTTCATTTGTCTCCATTGGATGAATATCATCTCTCTAAACATAACAAAGAGAAAAACATAATAATAATAATAATAATAATAATAATAATAATAATAATAATAATAATAATAAAGATTAAGTATAAATACCTCATAATATGTGTCACCTATCCATTCTTCCCAACTTGTCATTTAATAAAAGCTATATTTATAACAAATATCATATGTTTGCTTTTAAGGAAAATTACTTTCAGCAAGTCGCTTTCAGTTTACCATATAAGAAATATCAATATAAGAAATATCAATCCTCTATATATAGAAAGAAATTATAACCAAATTTTCATTTTTATCCTTTTTATTTTTGTTAATGTTTCATAGTTTATATTTCTTATTTAACAAATTAATTTGTTTCTATTAATATTTAATAATATTCATTATTACTCTTCTTGTAAATGTATTCATGATTCATTTTAATTAAACAACTTTTATGAATAAGTAATATGTTTATATTTGTTAGTTTTCAAAATTAATAAAGTTTTAAGGGTTTAAGATTTAAATTGAAAAATCTAGGGTCTTTTCTAAACTACAATGTAAACCGAAGGTATAAAATTGTAATATTATATTTTATCGATAAAATGATTATTTTATCGGCACACATATTAATATATTTTATCGGCACATATATTAATACATTTTATCGGCACACATTTTATCATTTTATCGGCACACATATTAATATATTTTATGGCACACATATCAATTGTAAGAATCTGAAACCAAATTTTCATTTTTATCCCTTCTATTTTTGTTAATGTTTCATATTTATATTTCTTATTTAACATTTTAACTTTTTTTATTAATATTTAAAAATATTTATCAATATTCATTATTACTCTTCTTGTAAATGTATTCATGAGATCATTTTATTATACAACTTTTATGATTAAATAATATGTTTCTATTTGTTAATTTTCAAAATTAATAAAGTTTCAATGGTTTAAGGTATAAATGAAAAAAAAATCTAAGGTATGTTCTAAAACTACAATATAAACTAGATGTATATAATTGTAATATTACTTATCAATAGAATTGATTGGCACAGATTGATACGCATTTTAAAACCATAATTAAAATGATATATATCAATTGTCATTTTAATATATTAAATTGAAAAGATGATTAATTTACTTAATTTTAATTAAATAATATTTTTAACCATGGATTAGAAAAGTTATAAATTGATTTATCGTTAATAATATGAATTTTAAAAATAATAAAATATATTATTAACGTTTTAATGAAAAATAAAATATATTTATTGAAAATGATTAGAATACATATCTTAACATTTTAATTAATATTATTTTGAATATATATATTTAAGATTTTTTAGTATTTAATTTTATGTGTATTTCATATAAAGTTGTTGAAATTAAAAAGAATAAAAAGTAGGAAGGTTTATTTTGTAACTTACATCTAATTGAAAGGGAAAAAAATGAAAAATATAAAAACAATTAAAAATACCAAATCAACAAATATGATGATGGGATTGATTCTCTAATGATACAATGTACTGCAACGACATTTCTTCCATTATTTTGTAAAAACCCTATTATTTAATAATGCTGGCAAGTTGTTAATTCATTTGATGAATGTTCAGTGTCATTTCTCAAATTTATATGAAAAAAACTTTAAGCGAGACCAAGTATGGTAACGAATGATTGGGCCAGTTGATGTTTATTGCATTCCATTTTAAAAAACCAACTTTACGTGAGACCAATTATTTAAAAAATTAATAATAATAAAAACTTTAAGTTAAACCAGCAAAACCTTTTTCAAAAAAACTCTATACCCCATATATTTTGATGAAAACTTGTCCCAAAATGTTCAGGTTGATCAGCTAATTGCCATGGCTGCAAAGAAGGGGGATCTATTCACAAAACACATTACAGATGTCAAAATTTAGAGACAATTAAATAAGAAAAAGGAACATATTGACTCTAATAATTCAAAAATGAGCATTGAGCAAAAACTCAAAATATTCAAGGCTATAAATAAAAATGGTATCCTGAAATGATAAGAAATGCCACTGGCACCACCAGATGTGATGATCCAAGACACAAACCCAAGAAGACGATAACTAGACAATTTATACACGTGAAACATAAAAACCATTTAAGTTTTTTTTAAAAGCAGCACAGGAAAATAAATATAAATATAATATATTCCTGCAAAGACTCTCCTCTTACTTGACACTCAATGATGGGAACTGACCAACATCCTCAATGGCAGGAGCCGCCACATCCATCATCCGGTTTCCACCGCCTCTGGACACACCACCACGCCCACGGCCCCTACCACGTCCACCTGAACCTGGATTGTAGTACTTTTCCCCTTCACTCGGTTTTAAAAACTCATTGATGCTTAGTGACTGTCAAAATAAAAACAATTGCATATAAATATCATCTTAATTGCATATATAACATTAGCATTGCTTTGTATTTAGAAAAGATTGCTATTATTTATCAAGACTTTTCAAAATTGCTCTTCAGCTTAAAAAATCTCAAAAAAATAATCAACCTGTTCAAAATGTTGGGTTAAATAATCTCATAATTTCATTCCATCTACTACAGCCCAGGTTTTATAGTTAGGAAAAAAAAATAAGAGTACATTGAAAAGAACACCAATTTAAGTATACATTTTCACTTCAGCAAGCTTCAAATACTCAATTTCACAACAGCAATGCATTTTGAATTTCTTAAATATTAAAACATTGTACATTAGAGAATACCAAGCAATTGATTTGTATTTTGAAGATTCTTAATTAGATACAACAAATTCTACCCACTTATAGCTTTGCTTTTGCATTTGGAACACATTGCGTAGGTTTTTCAAACAACAGTGTTGTAATACATAAAAATTAAATTAGGATGCTAAAATATATAATTCAATGAAAACAACAATATTTTAATTATTTTATTAATTATGATAAAAAGTAAAATGTTGTCTCGATGAGTAAAAGACGAAATCTGAGATCAAATAAACTTGCCTTTCTAGCTCTGTCTTCCTTGTCAGCAGCCTCTTTGCGCTTATCCTTCTCAGAACCCTGCTTGCAACAAAAAAAAAATAATATGAATACAGAAACTAAAAGAAAATTTCATATATATTCTTCCACTAGTAAAGGAATTTTACCAATTTAACAAATATGTCCTCTTCACTCTTTTTGTTGGATAGCAACTGCATTTTTGCTAGATCTTTGTCCAATCCAACCTTTCTCTCTTCAGACTTGAGTGCTAGCAACGCTTTTCTCTTCTCCTCTAGAACCTTCTCATACTCTTCCAGTGTCATTTCCTGTTCACCGAAAAAATCTTAGGTAAACTATCTAAAGGTTTCCTTTAGACTTAATGCAAAAAGAACTTAGAAGAGAAAGTAAGGCATAACTCCCAACTCTTTACATAAAAGTAATTGGCCACATGAACAAATCTCCCAACTCTTTACATAAAAGTAATTGACCACATGAATCATGATTATCTATCTGCCAATTTCATGTTAAACTAACATATTACAAAGTAAAAAAGGTGCAATTATACCACCCCCAAGAAAAAACAAGAAAAAGAAACATGAAGATAATGTTTGGATTAAAAGAAGAATCTATATTAAGGAACAATCAAACTGGGGTGCTCACACTCACAGACAGAAGTTATTACAGCTAATAGAAAAATCAATTCATGTATAATGTATTCATTTCTTTTTTTACTTAATAGAAAAATCAAACAAATCAGAACTAAAGAAGGAGAGGAATACAAAAATAATAATAATAATAATAATAATAATAATAATAATAAAGAGACATCACCTTCTCCTCAGGCTCTTTCTCCTCTGCCTCGTTAACAGGATTCTCCTTATTGGCATCAACCAATTCTTCCTGAACAGCTGGCTTCTCAGAGGCCACGTTCTTTTCACCTTCAACCATAGCTTCTTCAGGCTCCCTATAAATAAAAAGGCAACCGGACAAGTCAACTCGTTGAACACAAAATTCATGAAAGAATGAAGAAAATATCTATTAAAGATTGCAACATATAACAGTAACAAAGATTCTGGAGACTTGAATATAACACAATGAAGTAAAGTGTAAAAAAACTACAACTGCCTTAGATTATTAATCAAGTAGCTTGTCAATTTTCAAAGAAACATCTCATTTCGGTTTTAATTGTTAGAAACACAAAACCCAAAAAAATGAGGTGGATTTATTCAGCTCATAAAAGACGGCTCTGAGAGCTAAATAAAATTTGAGCACTTACAAGGCAACCTCATCAGTTGCAGTTCCCCAATTGCCACGACCGGCACCTTCACGCTTAAACCCATTACTGTATATCAAATAAATAGCATAATCAGAAAGATATTACTAAATAATAGAAAAACCATCCTCTCAGAAACAAAAAGACTTCATCTTTTAAGGGATAAATCAAAGACAAAGCATTAATTTACATATTATAGCATCCTACTTTCATTTCTTTCAATTAAAGAAGTATACTTGAGATCTTTTTTTAACTAAGGCATGCATATCACTTAGTATCATTTTTTTCTTATCACCGCATTTTACTTTACATAAAAATTGTGCTTGTTGTATCTCAATGGCATGGCTATACTTGGATAAAGTTATCAAGTATGATGCCATAATAAACAATTCAATTAAATCAGACACAAGTACAACTACTAACCCACGACCAGTTCCGCTGCGGCGTTCAAACACCCTCCGAGGGCGTTCACCTTCAGCATCACCCCCATTTGTATAGCCACCCCGACGACCACCACGGTATCCACCACGTGGACCATTATACCCTCCTCCTCCTTGTCTTTCAGACTTGTCAACATCTCCATCTTCAGAAGATCTGTTGTATCCTCCATTGTTAGTTCCACTAGAGTTTTCATTGTCACCAAAATCACGATTAAACCCACGTCCACCAAAACGCCCCCCTCTCTGACCACCATTCCTCGCCTCTTGCACTACACCTCAAAACATAAACAATGTTTCATACAATCCATGTAACTTCTTAAAACACCATGTACATACATATATTCTATGCTCAAATTCCAGCATACGCTGCATGTGCAGCTATACACAATTATATGACTTGTTTTTACCATGAAAGTAATAATACATGTCATACGCACTCATCTCACGAACACTCCATATATCAATATCAACACCACCCAGCCGGGCATTTGCATCATCAAAATATACATCTTAATAATACAAACTTTACTTCAAGATTGTCCTCTTTCAAAACTATCGAGGCAACAAAGAAACACAGTGGCTTCGCTTTCAGTTTTAAAATTATAGGTGCTTTTATACAACATCAAAAACACATTAATTGTTGCAAAACAAAATATTTACTACAATTTGGAGCATTTTGTGCATTCCGTTGTGGATTAACCATGTTAAACATTGTCAAATTCACTATGGTTCGTTGATAAAAATTTGACAGATACAATAATTCAACAACCCAAACATGGTATATCTGAATTCCATCAAAAAAGTGGCACTTAAACTGAGTGCACGCTTGCGCATTCACCCAAAATAGCATACGACGGAAGCCGAGGACATTTGCAAACAGATGTAAACAAAACAAAAAAAATAATAAAATAGATATATTTACCAGCCTGGGCAGGAGGAAGCGGCTTGGACGGAAGCTTGGCTGCCGGCTTAGCAGCCGCAACACCAGCCGGAGATTTCTTGATGGACGGTGCCACTGCAGGTAGCTTAGCTATGAGTTGACTGGGGTCATCGTTATCATCATCGCCCAAAAGATCAAACGGATTCGTTGTTGCCATTTTTCAACACACTAAAAAATGTTAGAAACCTCAGAAACCAAAAACTATCGGGGGGCAAACAACACGGAACCTATAGGTTGTGCTTAGCGTCCATTAATCGATTCGATCAATTAACGGCGGAATAATAGTGAGAGTGGGCGTATGTGAGCTTCAACAGAAAATAAGTGGCGATATTGGGAAATAAAAACCCTAGCCGAAGCGGAAGATATTTGAGAAGTGGCGTACCTGTAGTTAAAAAAATATAAAAAATTAAAAAAAATAAAAAAATAAAAAACCTACAGAATACAGAGGGTTTTGTTGACGAATTGATTGGGCTGAGCGTAGGTATCTATGTTCGCGGGCTGATTTTTTGAGTCAAACAACCCAATATCTTTTTAATATTATTAGACAAATATGCAAAAATATATGTTAGGCTATATACTAGTTAGTTAGTCATCTATTATATAGTTTAATTTTAAATAAAAAAAACTAAATGTAAATGTTAAAATATTTATGAACTTTAAATTTATAAAAAATAAGAAAAATAATGCATTATTATAATAAAATATTTTTTATTTTTTAAATTTAAATAAATAAATAAAACTAATAAGTTTTAATTTTGAGAATTTTGAAATTAAAAAGTGAGTTCATTAATAAAATTGATATTAATTTATTACTATATTTATTGCAATTATTACATTAAAATATTATGTGTAATTTAATAAAAGAGAAAAACTAATAAGATGATATGTGGAAAAAAATCAAAATAACTACAAAATGACATTTAGCAAATTGAATGAGAGTGTAACAAGTGGTAAAAAAAACATTCATTATTAGAGATGATTTTTCTGGGTTAAACTTTAAAAACTAATATGCCCTTTTAATTTGTTTTTATATATTTTCTTAAATATTTTTTTTCTTTTATTTAAATATCAATGTTAAAACAAATAAATAAGGAACTCTCTCTCTCTCTCTCTCTCTCTCTCTCTATATATATATATATATATATATATATATATATATATATATATATATATATATATATATATATATATATATATGCAACCTAAAAACATCATGGTTGTATTTTCCAACTACCGTCGCCCCTCTTTTCACATCTTACATCGGACCTCATCGCTACCATCTGCAACAATCAGACACCAATCTACCACTTCCCACCCATTTGTATCATCGACAACCACCAGCCTCAAAACCATTAATGCACCTTCCATCAGATAAATCACCCCATTCTTTCACCTTCATTTTCCAGTAGTTCCTCACCCCTATACAAACCAATTTTTGAATCGATTTGTTCGTAACTTCATATACAAAAAGGGAAAACACCACTAAACCTCTGACTTGAAATCAAAATCAATATGGAAACCTGTAATAAAACCCAAACCAAAATAAACATCAAACAACTCAAAACTGAAACTGATGAAATTTAAACCAAAACTGTTAACGTATCTCACTAAGAATACGTTAAAGATAACATAACTGCTATCTTTAGGACGACCTAGCTAACGATTGTGAATCCGTCCTAACGCCAGACCCGAGCCCTCTCCCTCATACTAAGACCCTTATACTTGGCGCTCTCGCGCCCGGGTCCAATTCCTGGCGACAATCTTCAGTCTATAATGAGAAAAAACATAGTTGGTTGTTTGCCAAAGCAACAAATGTAGTACCCAAGGTGTTGTCCTCTGTTTATTCTACACCAATAACAGATGGCCGCTAGTGGTTCATGATCCACCAATAGGTCTCCTACACGTCCTGTTGTCCAAGACAAAATAAAGGACATTGTTGGAATCATACGCAAGGAACAACAGGTATAAAAAGGATCCTTCTTTTCTAGAAGAAGTGATCGTTTTCTCTTTATCAAAAACCTTAATCATCTTATTCTCAAACATACATTAACTAGACCATCAAAGCTTCATCTCAGGACTACCACCTAGACGTCGACTTACGTTATAACAACCCAATTTTTCAAAGGAAATGTAACGACCAAAATTTCAACAAAATTTAAACTTTTCAAAAACATCCAGCTCATTAAGTTATTACAAAAAGGTTTTCAATACATTTATTATCAGAGTATTCCCAGGTCCATATCAAAAAACATAAACACGAGGAGCGGTACGATCACGCCTTCGCCTTGCCACGGTCTCCTGAAGAACCTGAAAAACATTTAAACCACAACTGTAAGCCCGAAAGCTTAGTGAGATACCCCCAAAATACCAACCACATATACGCCCTTCCAGGCTACGACCTTCAGGTCCAAATCATAATGCCTTCTGGCCCATAACATAGTGCATTCCGGCCCATTACATAAATTGCATACATAACATAACAGAACATAGAACAGCCATGCATATCGGGTCTACTGTGTGATTGGTCCGCCGTATCGGGCCTTCAGTCCACCGGGTCCATCCTCCGAATCTAGTCATGTCCTTCGAGTCTGTAGTGTGGTTGGTCCGCCCGCACCGTGCCTTCAACCCATCTGGTCCACTCTCTGAGTCTACAGTATGACTGGTTCGCCCGCATCGGGCCTTCAATCGCCCTGGTCCACTCTCCGAGCCTCAGCACGTCTGGTCCGCCCTCGTGGGGCCTACAGCCTATCCGGACCGCTCGTTGGGCCTTCGGAACAACTGGTCCGCCCTGGGTATCTTGGCCTACAGCACAAAGCAGGACCCGTCTCAACCTAACTCTAATCCAAACAACCATGTGCACATAACATACAATCATATAATAGTTCATAGTCAGCAAGCCGATCAAGCAGATCACATAACATATCATTATCCTAACCAGGATACCAACCTAACCGGTCACTAGCATAGCATCACCCTACATATCAAGAAACCGACCTTAACCAGGTCTCTAACATTTACCATCCTAGCTACCAGGATGCAGACATATCAAAGCAATAACATAACAACAAATATCCGAATCTCAATCCGATAAAGGGTCGGCCTTGGTGCCTTAGACCCTGTCGATATAGTGAGGATAACTCACCTCGTGAATGCAGATACTCTGAACTGAAGAAGCAGACTCTTGAATCACCAACTCACCGCCAATCCCGAACTAACCATCATAACAAAATAAACATTAGGCCAAGCTTACATTCACTTATCAGGCCAAGACCAAAGTCCAAATCTTATACAAGGTCCAATATTGGCCCAATTTACCAAATTGGGCCCACCTCACCAAATGGGCCTAGATCCAAAGTCCATAACAATAATTGGGCCCAAAATACTTTATCCATAAATTCCCAGACTTGGCCCAATAACCCACTACCCACAAACGGCCCAAACTCAAAAGCCCAAAATGAAAGTCCAACAGGAGGAGTACGTTGGGCGTACCTTCCTTGGTACGCGGGGTGTACAACATTGATTCGCAAAGGGGGATCGGGGCTCTGGCCCGCTACGCGGGGCGTACTCAAAGGTTACGCGGGGCGTAACTGCGCTATACATTAAGTCCTTCTAACCTCTTAATGGCTTAAGCTCTTAAGCCCAAACTTCATATCCCTAGGCCAAATATGCCTAAGATTCATAAAGTCTCAAACTTTATCACTTGGGATGTCCATAAGCTCTTAATCCAAGGTCTTAATCCATTAAGACCTATGTTTCCGTGACAACCCGATATTTCGAGACAATGAAATGTAACACCAGTCGAATATAGGTAAAAATTTAACTTTCCTAAAATCTTATTTGGGTTAAATAAAGTGGTAGGAATCGTATTAAGGTTTTCATGCATATAAAGAACACTAAAATCCGAGTTATAACGAAGAAGTTATGACCAATCTAAGATTCTCGGCAAAACCGACAATACTAATAAACATAAAACGCAAAGTTTCAATACAATAGTTTTTGGCCTTAGGTATCTAAATGAAAGTTTTAGATATCATTAAACCGTAAACGTACATAAACAGAACGTCCAAATCTGACTTCGTATGAGGAAGTTGTGATTTTTCTAAGTTATAGATATAACAGTAGACAACTAAAAACTCGAAATAGAAATTGAGAGACGTTTAGCCGACACAATCTAAATGATAATCGAAGGGCTCAACAATACTAGCGCAATGGTAAAAAGTCTGAAGAAAACGGACGTCGGATGAAGAAGTTATAGAACTTTAACGGACTTTTCCTGTCCCGACCTATTAAAAATATAATATTAAAAATAAATCAGAACTAGCCGACGGAGTCTAAACGAAAGTTGTAGATCGTAGTCTCACCTTCGCGTGGATATAAAGAACATCGAAAACGGAGTTCGTATGAGAAAGATATGAATTTTTGAAGTTTGCTAATTAAGTAAAATATAAATTTAATTAAAACCCGGTATTATCCGAAGAATGAGTCAGCGGTCCGATCCCTCGTACGCCACGCGTACCCTCGTACGCCCAGTGTACTCGGATGCTAGGCTCCGGTTCGTATACGTCGCTCCGATGTTTCGACCGAGGATGCGCTCATGCATGACGCATGAGTACGCACCGCGTACTCTCGTACGCCCCGCGTAACGAGGTCCTCCAGCCCCTATATAAAGGGTGCAAGGGTGCCGGCCATATTTGCTAATCTCCTTCCTTTCTCGCGCCGAAGCTCTGCGTTTCAACCCTCGGAGTCATCCCAAAGGCCCGGTTTTCATATCCAAGTTGGGAAGAAAGTTTTACACTCCCGAGACTCCTGAGATTTCCTAAGAATCTCGAGAGATCCGCTTTCTCGAGTAGAAGTTATGCTCGGTTTTCGTCACGCTTTCTTCAATCAATCAAGTGAGTTCATACGCCTATAAACTACACTTTTAAATATTTTATAAATACTTTTATATGCTTTTAAGGAGGGGGTGAATAGAAGTAAAATACTCGATTATTATCGTGTGTTATATAATAAAGTTTCATTATACGCTTTTTATCAACGGAATCATATGTGATTTATAACAGTTATAGGGAAACTTTCATATGAAAAATATATCACGATAACATCATAACTTTTGAGATGAAAAGTGTTGTTATATATATATATATATATATATATATATATATATATATATATATATATATATATATATATATCAAACACTTTGCTTATACGGTAAGTATATGTGTCCATCTTCGGTACTACAAACATACGATTATTTTGACACGAAAAATGTCAATCTTTTGCGATATTTGCTGTTAATAAATCAATCATATGGGATTTATAACTAGTATACAAATGGATTTACTACAGGTTTAGCAGTTTTACTAAACATATTACTTCAAATGACTTTCTTAAACGTTTTTACATGATTAACGCTTTTTATCAAACTGTCTTACACACTGTAAGCT